ATATGATAAATAACCCAAAACGCCATCCCAAATTTCCACTTCACATGAGCATTTCAAGAGACGGACGATACTTATCATCACATAAAAATCTCTGGAGCTCCATTTAATTTTTGAAAATTGCGACTAGTTTATTTAAAAAATAAATAATAATAAAAGATTAAAATGTAATATTGGATTTTGCGGGAAAGTTTTGAAGTATTTTGGTCTGAAAATTTGGTCATCTTGTAGAGAATTTTATTACGAATGGAACTATGTTTTTCGTTTGTTCATAGAATTATCATATTTTAAGTTATAAAAAAAAAAACGGGAGAAATAAATTGCAATAAATTTCTCGGGCATTAACTTGCTTATACCAATGTCCGTAAAAACTAGGTTAGTATTACACTGCACCTACTCAAATTGAAGAACGTGTCCTGGCTGAAATGTTGATGACGTTATCACAAAATTTGGTTGTGAAGAAACTCACATGGAACATACGAATAGCATGCTTCTTTACCTGTACCTTAAAAAAAGTAAACACATATATTTATTTTAACTTATAGGAGTTATTATTATGAAAAATAGAAAATTCCCAAAATTATTTTTTATGATTTTAGGAAGAATCTCTATTTGTTCGCATGTACTTCAGAGGCAAGGAAACTTCTGTCTAAATTATTTTATATCATTGTTGCTGAATAAAACAGCAGTAAAATGAATCAATTAACTGTTAGTAATCGTTGCTAGCTGCAAAGAATAATTTACAATGAATAGTTATGTATTAAAACGATATACACCAGAACCATCTTCACCAAAGCAGCAATATTATCTTCATACACAAAATTACTAATGAATATTTACAATGATTATCTGAAAATTGAATTGCCACTTTCATATTTTCTCGACGTATCATGACCTCTAAAGTTGGAAAAAAGTGGTCCCCTGTTTCCGTCTGTCTGTCTGTTTGTCTGTATCCGTTTTTACTAGACAAGTAATCTCCGAAACTACTCGACCGATTGTTGTCAAATTTTGTATGTCTATTAGGAATATCATATATATGGCTAAATACTAACTAAAATTTGGCTAATCGTCATCACGACGATGATGTCATCTTCAAAATTTATAATAAAAAGTTTTTTTTAATTTCATAAAGTAAGATACTCCTGTGCTTGTGATGTGTGAATCCGTATCGAATTTTCACTCTGTCCATTCACAATTTTTGGAAAAAATTCAAAGCTGAATAACAATATTTTGCAACATAACTTTGAAACTGCAAAACTGAATGCTCTGATATCTTGTAAATATTTTAGGGTTATGATAATCATGATAAATCGTTAAGCAAAATTTATTCGTTTATCCTCTCCCAAAAAAGTTGATGACGTCATCTCAAAATTTTGCTGAATAAATCCTATCCAAAATGTGCAAAATACAATTATTTACTTCTGATTTATCACTGCATTAAAAGCTTTTAAGTTCCTTATACAGGGTAACTAATAAAAATTAATGAAAAAGTTAGTCTATTTTATTGATTAAATCGGCAATGGCTGACTCTGCTTTCCCGAAAATTTGGGAATACAATACTGTTATCATTAGTGTTACACTGCACTTGTCCAAGGTGATATATCTGTCTTTGCAAAAATGTTGATGACATCATCACAAAATTTTGTTAAGGGAAAACTCATTTGGAACGTACGCCCAGCACGCTTCTTTACACTTACGTTGCACATACATCTTTACTTTAACTTATAAGGGTTTTCATTAACAAATAAAATTCGCATAAACATAATTTTATAATTTTTCAAAAAGGCTGGATTTGTTTCATTATATTTTCGGGGCTAGGGAGGTTCTGTCGATAGAACTTTTTTATAACTGTAAAACACCACCCTGTGTTAAATAATCTTTTATTATTAAACCACAAATAAAGGATCATGTCACACAGCGATTTACTATATTCACAAAAACATTAATGTGTGTGCAAAATTTTGAGCAATCGGTTGCGTAGTTTCATCATTACAATGTAAAATTTTGCTGTACGCTTTTAAACTGTTTTCCAAAATCCCATATTATACACAAGTTTAAAAATAGCGTTGATCAGTAAATCACAGGTCCAGGGGCTATTATTTTACACATGTTAAGTAGGATTTCCTTCAAAAAATTTTTAGTTAACGTTATCAAATTGTTGGTATATTTGAAAAAATCTGCTAAGCCAGGAATTCAAGCAAAGTTTCAAGTAGCCACAATGAATATTCGAAATATTTGTCTGATTCCATATTTTTTAATTAGTTTTTTACTTCCCGAGCGTAAGCAAAGGAAGTATTGTAATCGAGTCCGTCGGCCGACTCTCTACTTTTACGTTTTCTCGATCTTTCATGACCCCTAGAAGACGAAGAAATAGGTCTCCCGTTTCCGTCTGTCTGTCCGTCTGTCCGTCTGTCCGTCCGTCTGTCCGTCTGTCCGTCTGTCCGTCTGTCCGTCTGTCCGTCCGTCTGTCCGTCTGTTGTCCCGGATTTTTATTAGACAGATAATCTCCGAAAGTACTCGACCGATTGTTGTGAAATTTTGTACTTATATTAAGAATATCATGTAGATGGTAAAACGCTAACCAAAATTTGTCTAATCATCCCCACCACTAATGCGATGACGTCACTTCAAAATTGTACATAGTAAATGGGTTTTCAATTGTATAAAATAACATAGTCCTACACATGTAGTTTACAACTCTGAATCGACTTTTCACCCGAAACGTCCAGATTTTTGAAAAAAAAATCAAAATTATAAAACAACATTTTGAAATTTAATTTTTAATCTGCTAACCAGAATGCTTTGAAATGTTGCAGATGTTTTAAGGCTATAAAGAGCATCATAAATCTTTAGTCAAAAAATATTTGCTTATCCCCTCCAAAAACTTGATGACGTCAGCTCAAAAGTTTGTGGAATAAATCATATCTAAAATGTACAAAATATGATGAGTCTGTACTTGTGATCTATCACTCCATTCATATTTTTTGGATTTGCATATACAGGGTGACTCAAAAAAATTAATGAATGCGTAAATATATTTTATTGATTTAATCAGGAACTACAAAACCGAATGCTCTGAAATCTTGCAGATGTTTTAAGGTCATAAAGAGCATAATAAATGTTTAGTCAAAATATATTTGCTTATCCCCTCCAAAAACTTGATGACGTCAGCTCGAAAGTTTGCCGAATAAATCATATCTAAAATGTACAAAATATGATGAGGCTGTACTTGTCATTTATCACTCCATTCATATTTTTTGGATTTGCATATACAGAGTGACTCAAAAAAATTAATGAATGCGTAAATATATTTTATTGATTTAATCAGGAACTACAAAACGGAATGCTCTGACATCTTGCAGATGTTTTAAGGTTATAAAGAGCATAATAAATGTTTAGTCAAAATATATTTGCTTATCCCCTCCAAAAACTTGATGACGTCAGCTCGAAAATTTGCCGAATAAATCATATCTAAAATGTACAAAATATGATCAGTCTGTACTTGTGATCTATCACTCCATTCATATTTTTTGGATTTGCATATACAGGGTGATTCAAGAAAATAAATGAAAGCGTAAATTTACTTTACTCACACACACAATAGGCATGCAGTCGTCAAGTTTCCGACAGCGAGGGAAGTACTGTCTAAACTCTTTAGACCAATTTTTTGTTATGCCTTGCTTTGACATGGAATAAATATCGATTTTCGGTAACAGCGGTTAAATCGTTTATCAGTTTAATTGTACATAGTAACAATACATTTATATTTTAGCAGTTATCTAATTACGGGCCAATCTCACGTTGATTTAGTGACGTTGCAAAACGAGGTTGCTTTGGTAATGTTTCAAACACCCAATAGAAATTTAGCTTTTCGCGACATCACCACAGCAACGCCGTTTTGCGACGTTGCTAAATCAACTTGAAATTGGCCCCTAATACCTCTAAAATCTAAATTTATTTGTCAAACCGTTTACAAAATTTACGTAATTCAAAGAAATTGCGTTTTATTTTATACAATAATTATAGTGCCATTTTGTAATAGTGTTTAAAATTTATTGTACCAAGTTCTATTGTTTGTCTGAAGTACTTTTTTATTAGCACATTATAAAATTTGAGTAATAATTAAAGCTATTTGTTTTTGAATAAACTATTAGAGCTGATTCTCAATGATCGTATTGTTTTCAAAGCGTGTAAAGAATTTATATGCATAAAACTTCCACACCATTCTTTAATGAGTCCTGCTGTTAATCGACGTTTTAATTATAACTATTTCAGCAAAGTATAAATCGCCTGAATTCTGGAATCGTCATTAGTGTTTTAAAAGTGAATAATAAGCGACAGAGAATAAAATTGCGGCTGAATTTAAAGCACATGGTTGTGGTTATGCATATTAAATGTCTTCTGCAATGAAAAATCATTTCAATGAAATTCATCGAAATAAACTTATTGTAACAAAACAATAGTTTTGTGTTGCTGTTTGCAGAAATAACTGTGATACATAAAGAATACTGGATGTCATAATGACGTCATGCAACTAAACAAAGAGTATGTATGTAAAACGAAGTTCGTGTACGGTTTGCATACCGTATAAATAAAACCTCAAAGAATGTTTCTTTACTCATAAATGAGATTTAAATTTCACTACTACTCTTATGAATATGTGTAGTTTGCCCACAGACTGAATACTACTTACTGAAAATTAACGTCCATTTATGCAGTTAGTTTTTTACCTGATGATTTATTTGTCAATAATTATTGTATACACTTAACAGTTAGTTTTGTGTTACCGTGTAACATTAATTTTTAATTCAATAATGAGTATTTAGTACCAGACATGTATAAATATTTAATTAAATAGAAGCCGTACTTTAATTGACTGTATATTTTGCTTAGGAAAATCACATGAATTTTCTTAAAAAAAATCCTAACAAAATTAAATGCTACTTTTAACACATCCTTATTAATTAAAATTCATCTGACTTCAATTCTCATTATATTTGCAGATAAGTATGTCCTTCCGTTAAGGTCAACTAAGATTGAAACTCGTGCCTAATGTCTGAACCTGTCCGCTCGACGGTGACCAACAATAGCACTTTTTGAGCACATATATCCAGGTAATGCCATTTTTTGCAGTACTTGAAATCCGACATCACTGTTCCGAGATTGCGCTTGTTTATTCAATTAGAAATAAATGATTTGCTCATACCGTCGCGTTATACTCACAACGTGAGCCAGAAGCTATAAACAACCGGTTTAATTTTTTTTTAATCGGTTTCAAATAAAGCAAACAATTTATTCAGTTTGCATGTGCATTTTTTACTGAATTAGTCTGTTTTAGTTTGCGGTGCTAGTAACACACGCGTCTTCAGCTGGTAAAAATGAAGAAGTTCGATCTCGACGAAATACTTGTGTCTTTGGGGGGATGGGGAAAGTTCCAAAGTCTCTATTACCTCGTACTGTGCAGTGCTATTATCTTCTCAGTTTTTCCTGCGATGAATTATATTTTTATCGCCAGAGACATCAAATACAGGTGAGTTTTTTTCATGTCTAATTTTTTATTTAACACTTTGTCGATAGGTGCAAAATTGATTCCTGTGATAAAGAAAATGGGCAGTTTAACCCCGACTGGCTGGAAAACGCAGTTCCTTTTGAACAACATATACCTAGTAAATGTTCTTACTACGAACCAGAAGAGAATTCCACATGTAGTAATTTTAATTTAACAAAAATCTTACGGTGTGATGATTACGTTTACGAGAGGGACGAAACTACCCTTGTCCATGACGTAAGTTTTCGTTTTACATATTTACAATTTTGATAAACAGTTTTTAGTTTGACATTAAATGCGATGAGAACTTGTGGAAATTAACCATAATTGGAACTATCAATGTCGTGGGAAAATTACTGTGTCTTCCTCTCGCTGGATTTTTCTCTGACCGGTAATAAAAATTATATTCTAAAAAATCTTACTTGAAATAACGAATTTTAGCTTTGGTAGAAAATCGATGATTATTGTTAGTGTGTTTTTAAGTACAGTAATAGGTTTGATAAGATCGTTCTCATTTTCTTATTACATGTATATAGGTCTGGAATTTCTCAACACGGTTGTTGGTTCCGGAGTATACAGTGGAGCTTTCATTTTAGGTATGGTGATCAGTTTATACAAGAGAACATATTAACATAATTGTTTTTTAGCTCTTGAACTCGTTGATTCCAAACGAAGAAATCTGGGGAACAGTATTATTTGTTTAGCTTTTACCGTAGGTCACATCCTTCTTGGTGTGGCGGCTTGGGTGTCTCCTACATGGCAGTTTATGACCCAAATAACGTACGCACCCGGAATTTTAGTCACGTTGTTGCTGTGGTTCACCCCAGAATCAGTGAGGTGGTTAATTTCCAAAAACAAGAATGAAAAAGCGGAAAAAGTTCTAAAAACCATCGCCAAAGTCAACGGAAAAGAATTAACGGAAGAAACCATCAAAAACATTCCTTATATTGAACAGACAGACAAAGCAGAAGAGAATGAAACAATTCCTTTAATGGCAATTCTTCGAAAGAAGAGCCTTCTCATACGCATCATCCACTGCTCGTTCACTTGGATATGCTGCAACTTTCCCTACTATGGTTTAACCATCCAATCAGTGGCTTTATCTCATGACATATATGTAAATTATATGTGTGTATCCGTTGTTGAAATTCCTGCATACATATTAGCCTACGGCTCTTTGGACCGCATCGGAAGAAAAAAGACTCTTGCTTTGAGCTTAATTTTCACAGGAATTGCGTGTATTAGTGTGGATTTTATTCCAGCAGGTAAACTCTATGCATTGAAAGAACAAATAGCAAAAACAGTATTTTAGGGAGTCCCCTAGCTCTGGTGGTTTTCCTTTCCGGGAAGCTCTTCGTCACAGTATCTTATATGACAATTTACATTTACACAGCCGAGTTGTTTCCAACCAGCTCAAGACATTCCGCATTCGCAGTATGTTCCATGTTTGGTTGCGTCGGGTCTATGTTGGCACCTCAAGTGCCTTTGCTGGTGAGGCTAAAGTAATTTTGTTTTAATGAAGCTAAAAATCCTTTTTCAGGCAAAGGTGTATAAACCTCTTCCTCTTATGGTGTTCTCTGCAATGGCATTTACAGCCGGGTTCCTCTCGTTTTTGTTTCCGGAACAGAACGAGGGTAAAAATCCTGATGAAATAGACAAATCCTGAAATCAATTATTTAAGTAATAGGTAGTTGATTATGTAAATATATTATATGCAGTAAAGAAAGTAATTACGAAGCTGATTGTGTACGTTAGTGCATATTATTTAATTTTACTCAGTTATGAGTAGTATTATTATAAATTAATTTTTTATACAAATGAAATAAATTTATTTAAAAAAGACTAATTATGATTTTACACTTGTAATGGATTTTTCACGGTCGTTATTCAATACCCTCTTAAATTATATCACAGTGTTTGAACCTTGAATCATTTCGTAATTTTATCATTATAACTTCATTTAAAAACAGGGAAAACTCAATTTGGTTCTTCCTATTCCTGGTACAATTTGAAAAGAAATATTGAAAAATTAAATTTTTAACATAGTAAATTCATGCGTTTAGTTTTACTTGTAGTCCCTAAATTTGAATTATTTTTACAGTATTTGTTTAATATCAGCGATTATTATCAATAGATTGCGATCCAAATTGTTTTACTCATAAATGACTGTTTAATAAATTATTATCCCTTGTATATGCCATAGTTTTAATTATTTTTCCAAGCAGTGTTTAGACGTTTTACTGTTGTCAGAATACACAAAGGTAAGGGGACAATGTAAAAGGAGCGGAAATCATTTCTGTTAGTATATTAAATATAACGGTCCAAATACCATAAATGTTTTAGTAGTCGTTTCTACCGCATTTTTTTCGGCGTAAAATATTCAGCATCTTTTCGATCTGAATTTTTTTCTGAAAATTTGCTTACTCTAATGAATTATTTTTATGCACTCAATTTATAGTTTTGTACTATTACTTCCAGGACGTAAGCTAAGGAAGTATTGTAAGCGAGTCCATTGGACGACTGACTGCTTTTATATTTTCTCGATGGGTCATAGACCCTAGAGTACGAAAAAATGAGTATCTCGTTTCCGTCTATCTGTCTGTCTGCCAATTTTTATTAGACAGATAATCTCCGAAACTACTGGACTGGTTGTTGTCAAATTTTGTATTTATATTAGGAATATGATGTGGATGGTAAAATACTAACTAACCTTTGCCTATTCATCCCGACTAATAATCTGATGACGTCACGTCAAAATTGCGCATAGTAAATGGGTTTTGAATTGGATCAAATAACGTGTAGTTCATATTCCGTATTAGTTTTTACCCGAAACGTTCAGATTTTCGGAAAAAAAATCAAAAGTCTATTTTTGCAATTTAATTTTGAATCTGCAAAGCCGAATGCTTTGAAATTTTGCAGATGTTTTAAAGTTATCATAACCATGGTAAATTTTTAATCAAAATATATTTGCTTATCCCCCCCCCCCACAAAAAATTCACCTCAAAATTTTGCTGAATGAATCCCGAATATCTAAAATGTGAAAAATATGATGAGTCTGAGTTGAGATTTATCACTACTTTCATAATTTTTAGATTTGGTTATACAGGGTGACTAAAACAAAATGAATGAGTCAATTTATTTTATTGAATAAATCAGGAACTGCAAAGCCGAATGCTCTGAAATCTTGCAAACGTTTTAAAGTTATCGTAACCATGATAAATCCTTTATCAAAATGTATTCATTTATCCCCTCCTAAAAAAACCATGACGTCATCTCAATATTTTGTCAAATAAATCCTCTCTGACTTGTGCAAAATATTATAACTCTACTATACTTGTCATTTATTATTACATTCACTTTTTTTTAGTTTGCTTATGCAGGTGGCTAAAAAATTAATGATGAATCGATTTATTTTATTGACGAAATCAAGAACGACTCACTCCATTTTCCCAAAACTTTGGGAATACAATACTGTTATTGTTAATATTTCACAGTACACCAATCCAAGTTGATATACGTTACATTTACTTTAACATTGCATATTTCCATACCACGTTCATTTCAACTTACTCATTAAATAAATGAAATTCGTGAAATCAAATTTTATAGTTTTTCCAAATGGCTGGATATGTTTCATTGTACTTCAGGGAAGCTCTGTCAAAACAACTTTCGACCAATTTTTTGGTTTACAGATCAAAGTTGTGGTGATAAAAAAGATTTCTGGGTTCCTCTTTAATTGAAATATCAATGTCAGTCAGAGTAGATTAGCACCAGTAGGTTAGAATAATGTAGGTCAATTTTCAAGTAATGCACGGATAAATGAAGGGTAGTTGCGCTAGGTTCTTGGGGATGGGGTGAGAAATTAGAGAATACGCATTTGAATGCCATAATTCAAGGATCCCGAAAGTTGTTTTATTAATCTTGTCATTTCCGAGTCAGTGGTGGATATAGAAATACTCATAAGATATCAAGCATTCTTTTAAGCCATATAACACCAATTTGCTTTAAAGATTTTAAGTATGAAATTATGGAGACATCAATTACAAACATTTTTTTTCGCATATTAAGTATCCCCAGTAACATTTTATATGTAATAAATATTGAAGTTCTAACATTTAAATAAGGTAATATGGGTAACGACAGATTTTTTTTTAGAAAATCAATATTGGTTTTAAATATTGAATATATATTTATTTTCAATGTTTAATACTTATTTAGTTCAGAACATTTAATAAATGTTCTTCATATGAAAGGGGGTATGGATATAAAAAAAAACTTGTATGGAATACAATATAAAATTTATTAAACACAAAAATACATTGTCACTGGAAATAACAGTGTATTTGAAACGTTGCGGCAATATTTATACATTTAAAAATTATTTGTCCTAGAACCAATTCGTTGAAAATTTGTACCAGGTGATTTTTTTTTTAATTTCTGCTGTAGTTACTCATGACACTTATGTCAGCAGTGAAACTGAAACTGCTGACATAAGCTTCATGGGCAACCAGAGCATAAATTTAAAAAAATCACCTAATGTGAAACACAATATAAATTTTTTAAACATAAAAATACACTGTCAACTTACAATGAAATAAAAATACATTGTCAATGGAATTAACAATGTTCTGCTACATTTCAATCGTTATACAGAAATATTTATTTAATAATTATTTGCTCTATAACCAATTCATTGAAAAGCGATATAATTAATTAAAATAAAAAAATCATACCTCATGTTTTTTCGATGAGAATTCATTCTTGCTTTTGTCTGCGCTTAATGCGGTCCTACCATTTTTTAAATTTCAGTAGTTGTGGCATTTTTGTGACGTTTCCGTGTGGTACCTACAATTAAATTAACTTACAAAGTTCGTAATTTTTAAGAAATCACATAACTTTACATACTGTAGCCTTGTTAATTGTGAGTTCACTAAAAGAGAGCTTATTTTTTTCCTTGCCCTGAAAACTTGAAAACAATTTGGTTCATTATTAATAATTTCTTCAAAATTGCATACATGTTTTTTTACGTCTTCTCTTCCTGACAAATAAACATTATTATCAGTCTGAAACTAGTTTATAAATACTAGGAGTTAATAATAATAATAATAAATGCTTACCAATTCATCCAATTTCTACGTATCTCCCGCAATTTCTAACTCAATTTCGTCTTTTTTTTTGGTTGCTCCCGGACATTCATCATTTTGTCTCTACATTCATAATATGCTTATATTCAGAAATATTAAACCTCTTAAATATACTACGTGTTGAGAAATTGCATTTTCTGCATTGCATGTAGAAGTGAGGTTATGTAGGTTTAGTACTGTTTTCTTGACAAAACGGTATTTACTACACTATTCTGAATTTATTGCAGTACCTACCGATAATCGCAATTCACAATAGGACAAACACCGTGAACTTACACAAAATACTTTTTCAACCAGCAACAATAACAGAAAATACGTATATGTTGCACATTGCACAAACGCGTTCCAGCAGAGCAAGCATATCTGTAGGTGAAACGGAAATTTAAGTACGTTTTATAAAAATGATGAATAAACTTGTTATTTTTTGTTCGCAAAAATAAAAAAATATAACTTTTTAATGAGCAATTAATAGTGTGCAAAGCGAGATTTCGAATAGTGTCAAAAAGAAGGGATTCTTCCCTGCAACTCCAGAGAGTGCGGAAGTGTGTGGCTGCTGTCCTGGTGAAGAGTGTTTTTGAGAAGTAAGAAGTCCGCAGTTGACCCTCCGACCACCGTAAGTACCTTTTTGGGTCGTCTGCCCGTGTTAGTACCGGTTTTGGAATCGCGACACCGTCGTGCACGCATCGTTACCGTCACCGCGCTCCCCTCCCGGGTCGCCGTACCGTCTTCGCGCGATTTCCAGGTTCAAGGTCGCCGCCCCCAGAGCCAAGAGGAGCCCGGCCTGAAGGAAGTCGCCGCCCAGGAGGAACGACCGTGCCGGACATTTAATTTTTTTTGTTGTAAAACCGTTCTGTAGTTATTTAAGTTATTTAGCCGTAAGATTTATTATCTTAGACCGTGTAGCTGGTGGCAGGGAATAAACCCTATTTTTGTTATAACACATCCTCGCCGTTTTATTTCTTATTTTCGAGTTTTCGCGGCGGCTCATCACCTGAATTCCGTGTCTCCGGCTTTAGAGCACCCCGGCGCTCCCTCCCCCGGAGAGGGAGCTGGCGCCCGAGCGACCGTCGCTCCTGACCGAAGGCGCCACCCCCGGCGGCGTGAAGGTAGCCGCATAAGCTTGGTCGACCAGACGTGTTACTGATATCAGCGATACTAGTCGACCCAAAGCTTGGCACCCAAGTACGCCGCCACCCCATACGTTATCGGCGAGATTCCGGACCGTCACCGGACCGTCCGTCCGTCCCTCCCATCCGGAATTTCGTCGCAATATAAAATTAATATTATATAAATATTTGTAATATCTAGTCAACATTTACTATTATATCAATCTTGTATAAATATTAGAAAAATATTGCTTGCTACTGGGGATATCTAAAAAAGCTATTTTTCGCAAATGTCAGACACGTTATTTAATTATACCTAACACAATTTCAAATACTTCATAAAGCAAATTATAGTATATTATATATACAACACAATAATGATTCTTAAAAATATATATAAACATCACCGAAAGCACATAGGTACGATTTAGAAAAGTTATACATGCATATGCAATAATGTTGATGTTCTCGCACATAAATGTTGAATTGCACTTTTTATGTGATTGATGTGTGACGGTGTTCTTGGGTGCAGACGTAGTTTGTGATATCATGTAATAATTTATCATCAATAAGCAAATGAAAGTTTAAAAAAAGAC